GCGTTTGTCTGGCCCGAGTCCCTCAACCCCCTAAACCCTAAACCCTAGACCCTCAACTAAACCCCCCCTTCGGCGGTGTGCTGCCTGGCCTTGCGCTTCAGCTTTGCGGCCTTCTCCGCGCGCTTCTCGATCTGGGGGGCATGAATTTGCGGGATGGCTTGAGATCGAGTTTGTTTTAGGGTTTTGCTTCAGCCACGAAGCTTTCTGGGTACCCCCCTAAACCCTAAACCCTAAACCCCAAACAGGACCCCTAAACCCGAGAACTGCCTAGGTGAGCAGATGCCGTGGAGCCCGGCTGTTGGCTAAGAAAAGGGCCCGAAAGAATCGGCCAACTCTTCAAACCCTCAACCCTAAACACTAAACCCTAAAAACCCCTTTCAAGTAGCTTTTGGGATGCTTCTGGGAGTTGATTTCAAGTTCAGGGGGTCGCCAGCATTCAGAGCTGCTGAGAACGCAGGGTGGGCCAACAAAGACCCATCATAACCCATCATCGTACGATTTTTTGAGGGTGAGCCATACCCCCTTGCTGTTTGGGCTCTTGTTTTGCAGGGTTTGGGGTTTAGGGTTTAGGGTTTAGGGTTTAGGGTTTAGGGTTTAGGGTTTAGGGTAAACCCTAAACCCTAAACCCTAAACCCTAAACCCTAAACCCTAAACCCTAAACCCTAAACCCTAAACCCTAAACCCCCGATGAACGCAGGGCACTTCCCTCCACCCTCATGCCATGCCTGCCGCACGACCCACTGCGCCCGCGACAGCGCATCCTGACAAGGGGTTTCGGGTTTAGGGTTTAGGGTTGAGGGTTTAGGGTTTAGGGTTTAGGGTTTAGGGTTTAGGGTTTTCGGATTTAGGGTTTCGGGTTTAGGGGTGAGGGTGGCGCTTAGGGATTTCGTGGGGCTTGGGTTTACGGGTTCTCAAAGCCCCAAGCCCTGAACCCAAAACCCTTCCACCGGAGATCCTGCACGTCGCGCATCCGGTGCTCACGCTCCTGCGGCGACGGGGTCGTGTACATAATTCGAAGTTTTTCAGAATAAGTATACATGTAGGATAATACATACAACAACAAAAACTGGCATATAGAAAATGATTGAAGTCCCCACTCTGCCCCATCCGCTTCAACAAAAAAGCCTCCACACCCTGTGTCTTGTGGTAGCGGCTTCCGGAAACATAGATCTTACACTCCAATATAAGACAAGTTGATATACCCTGAACCGCAAACCCCTAACCCCTGGTAGAACCTAAGCCCTGAGCCCTAAATCCTCAGGCTACCGTGTTGACGTGACGGTGCAAATCTTCGGACCTCACGCAGCTGCTCATGGCCCTGCAACCCCGAACCCTCAAAACCCTATTAAAAAAACGATAAACCCTATGAACCTATGAGCCCAAACACCCTTACCCAGGATCACTGCAAGCATGAGACCGTTCGATCAACTTACTTAACAGCCAGCTGGATTGCTTCAAGCTCTCAAACCAAACCCCTAAACCCGAAACCCCTAAACTTCTGCTGGCCCTGCCGTTAGGGGGCCCCCTGACCTCCCCTGCCCTCCCCCTGACCTCCCTTGGCAAAACTTCCTTAGACGAGAGTCCGACGCAGTCTTGATAGTGGGAATTGAGGGCGACAGCCCTAAACCCTAAAACGCAATGGTTTGGGTGGTGGCCTGTGAAAGGGTGGGGAGAAAGAAACCAGCACCAATGAAATTGTTGGACTGCGTTGACAACAAATGCCTTCGCGTGACATGCCGACCCCCCCCCCACACCGTGTAGGGGGGCCGTTTCCACATGGTACTGACTGCCGCTGCGTGGCGAGACGCCCTCCAAGCCCTAAACCCTACACCTAAACTGTAAGCCCCCAAGCCCCTAAACCCCTAAACCCCCCTAAACCCTACACTTTAAGTTATTTCAACGAGGAGAGAGCTTGGAGCAGGGATCCGTGCGTCTCCCTAAACCCTAAACCCCCCTAAGCCCTACACTTTAAACCCTAAAGGGAAAAGCCCAGAAGCCCGTCTCCTGCCGCGCTTCTCTTTGGATGCTTTGCACGCGCGCCCGTGCGGCCTTGAGAGTGAGGTGGAGGGCTTTCAAGCTTACGTTTAGGGTTTAGGGTTTAGGGTTTGGGGTTTAGGGTTTAGGGGCTCAGGACGGTTTAGGGTTTAAGGGTTCAGCTAGGGCTGTAGAGGTTTCAGGCTTTAGAAGCATTATGGTGCAGGGAGGATCACCCCACCCCCAAACCCCAAATCCGCAGCTCAAATTCGGAACCCTAGACACCACCCCAAACCCTAAACCCGAAACCCGAAACCCTAAACCCTAAACCCCAAACCCCAAACCGTCTGCGCCTTCTCGGCTTCCCTCCGCTCGTCGTCCAGCTCCTGCTCCATCTCGATCTGCAGCCTCTCGCTTTTTAAGCTTGTGGGTTGGTTTCGGGTTTCGGGTTTAGGGATTAGGGTTCAGGGTTGAGGGTTGAGGGTTTAATATGCGGGTTGATATGGCTCTGGGGCTTTTGGGGGTTTTGGGGTTCTGTTTTTTTTGTTTATTTTTTTGGGGGGGAGGGGGGGAGGGGGGGTGGGTTTGGGATTTTTGGCGTTGGGGCTTTTGGGGCTTTGGGACTTACGGGTTATAGGCCTTCCAAGCCCGGAAGACTAAATGATTTGTTTAGGGTTTAGGGTTAGGGTGTTTAGGGTTTAGGGTTAGGGAACCCTAAACTCCCTCCGAGAAACCCTGAAAACCCTAAAGCAAGCCCCGGCCCCAAAAGCCGCCAAGCAGATGTTTTTGGGACCCAAACCCCCCTCTTGTTCCCCCCCCCCCCACACCCCCCCCCCACCCCCCCCCCCACCCCACCCCCCCCCACCACCCCCCCTTATCACCCTTATAGCCCCCGATACCCCCCCCCTCCCTATACCCGCCTTATACCCCTTGTACAACCCCGCAAGACCCCATACCCCACTCATACCGCCAGTCGAACACCAAGGGCTTAGGGTCCAGGATCAAGTTGCCGACACTAGGAGCGGTGTGCCGTAGGTGCAGTGCATCTACGATGGGCTTAGGGTTAAGGGTTTAGGGTTTAGGGTTTAGGGTTTAGGGTTTAGGGTTTAGGGTTTAGGGTTTAGGGTTTAGGGCAAACCTAAACACGGCGCCATGAGCCCGGTGCCTCTTCTCGTACTCCCGCAGCCGGGAGTCGAAGTTCCGCTGCGCGCGCTCCTGCTTTAAGGGGCTTCTGAGGGGCTTCAACCCTAAACCCTAAACCCTAAACCCTAAACCCTAAACCCTAAACCCTAAACCCTAAACCCTAAACCCTAAACCCTAGAAAATCTTTTAGAGCTTAGGGTAAGTCGTTGTGAAAAGATACCGTAGCAAGGAACCAGGTTCTACGAGAATTATTCATACACCTATCATGCTGATGTATGCGTATATATATATATGTATACATAATATAATATACATATACCTATATATCTTAACTTAACTTCAATTTCAATTCCTTGACAACAACTCCTACAGATTGGGTTCAGGGTGTAGTTTGTGTTCAGGGCGGCCACAAGACCAAGGGGGGGGGGGGGGGCGGGAGCTGACCTTTGACCAGAGAACCCTAAACCTCTCTTCATATATATATATATATGGTCGCCCCCCCCCCCCCCCCCCCCCCCCCCCCCCCCCCCCCCCCCCCCCCCCCCCCCCCCCCCCCCCCCCAAGATCCACCCCTAAGGTTTTTCATACTCGTCTCACTCCATGTCTATACTTTTTGTTATACATGCAGATGCCGAAAACGCTGCAAATACCGAGGGTTTTCCTCTTAAAACGATAGTTTCAGACTTCTTTGTTGCAACGATGCGTACATGCAGATGCCAAAAATGGACTACCAGGATCCGGTGGTTGGTTTCTGGTGTTACCGAGTTCTTATGGCGATGAGTGTGTGTGTGTGTGTGTGTGTGTGGTGTATGTGTGTCTGCGATGTGCGAATATGGCTTGCCTGAACCCATGAAATAGGGACAGTACAGCACTCTCGCCTCTTCGGACTGCAAAAGTGCTGTACTGTCCCTATTTTTTGCTTGCCTGGAGACGAGAAAATAGGGACAGTACAGCACTTTCGCCTCTTCGGACTGCAAAAGTGCTGTACTGTCCCTATTTTTTGCTTGCAGGTACCAATAAAGTGCTGTACTGTCCCTAAAAAACCTAAAAAACCAATCTTTCCAGCACTACCAGCCCTGGAGCCCCCGGTAGTTCCCAAAAGATTGGTTTTTTAGGTTTTTTAGGGACAGCACGGCATTTTATTGGTACCTGGAAGCAAAAAATAGGGACAGTACAGCACTTTCGCCTCTTCGGACTGCAGAAGTGCTGTACTGTCCCTATTTTTTGCTTGCCTGGAGACGAGAAAATAGGGACAGTACAGCACTTTCGCCTCTTCGGACTGCAAAAGTGCTGTACTGTCCCTATTTTTTTGCTTGCCTGGAGACGAGAAAATAGGGACAGTACAGCACTTTCGCCTCTTCGGACTGCAAAAGTGCTGTACTGTCCCTATTTTTTGCTTGCAGGTACCAATAAAGTGCTGTACTGTCCCTAAAAACCTAAAAAACCAATCTCTCCAGCACTACCAGCCCTGGAGCCCGGTAGTTCCCAAAAGATTGGTTTTTTAGGTTTTTTAGGGACAGTACGGCACTTTATTGGTACCTGGAAGCAAAAAATAGGGACAGTACAGCACTTTCGCCTCTGGAGACTGCAGAAGTGCTGCACTGTCCCTATTTTTTGCTTGCCTGGAGACGAGAAAATAGGGACAGTACAGCACTTTCGCCTCTGCGGACTGCAAAAGTGCTGTACTGTCCCTATTTTGGCCTGCAGATAGTCAACGGGTGGCTATGAAGGGAGGCTGAGGCTGGAAGCTGCGGCAGAGTACTTCATGCGAGTGATGTTTTGCAGTATTGCACATGCAAACAACATGCAAGGTCCTTGCTGTTTTGCGTTCGCGACGAGACGTGCGATGAGAGCGCTCAAAATCATCGCAAGGGAGCGGTCTTTCAGTTGATCTGAAAGAGAGAGTGGATCATTCGACCTGTGGCCTTCCACAGGTTCGAATTGCGGTTCCAGTACGTAAACTGGGCCGACCGGATCTTCCGGACGAGTTGCTGGCTACCTGGGACTCGGGATGAGTTCTTTAAGACGGTCCTCAAAGTGCCCCAGAAACGGTCAATGACTTGCGTCCCGCTTTTCACCTTCAGCCGTCGGCGGTCTGGAAGTTTGATGGTGTAAACCTTCGTGTAGTGGGGCTTGACCCACTGTGCCTGATGGAGAAGACAAGGGACCAAACGATTCATGGATGCAACTGAAAGGACATGTATTGAATCAATAGTAAAAATGGTGAGCACCGAGCCTTGCCGTTGACGGTAACCTTCTTTTTCTTGTGGACGACGTTGCAATGCTTCACTTGCGGGATCTTGAGAGTGTAGGCACGGGCGCCGTCGCTGTGCAAGACCACCTTGCGGTTGGCGAGGTGTTTTTTAGCAATAACAGCCCAGTCCACCTTCTTGATTGGGCCAGGACCCGGCGCCCGCTTTGTGGTGAGCTTCGGGTTCAAGCGAAACAAGCACAACGACGATGGACAGCCTCTCTGAACTAGTCCGCCCCACTGTTCCCACTTCGTGTTGCGTGGGCCTAAGGACTCGTCCGTGAGCTTGCCCAGATCGACTTCATCTACCTCTACATCCTCCCAATTGCCACCGTAGGTGATCTTCTTCTCCTGCTGGACGACGTACTGAGCACGGGCGACGTCTAGGTTGGTGTAGATGCGCTCCACGGGCTTGTGGTCCATGTCAAGGATCAAGTGGGTAGACTGGCAGGGGACATTGGCTGTTGCACAATACAGCGCTGCAGCCTGTTTGCCAAGCGACGTTGACGAGTTCCCAGCAGACATGAAGAAGACGGGATGGTAGTCGTGCGGCTGCAAGAACTTGTGGCAGTGCTTGTGATTGCATCGGTAGGCCCAGATCTTCTTAGCCTTGACGTAGTTGAGTGTCCCGAGAACGCCTTTGGCACAGCGAGGGCACTGGCGACCCTGCCAGCTGGGCAAGATTTTGTCCTTCTGAAGGTGTGTGATCAGTCGGCGGCCTTTCAGTGACATGAGGTGCTGTATGGACTCCCCCCATCGCTGGCGAAACCCTTTGTTTTTGGCCGATAGGATGCCGTGGCGAACATATGGCACGGGAACATAGTTCTTGGAAGCGGGGCGTCGCTGGACGCGATGCTTTCCTCGCTTGGGAGCAGGGAAAAGAGGCTTTGCCTTCATGGCTTTCATGACCGCCTTGGGCATGATGACAAGAGTTCTTGTGAAACGCTTCCTTGATGCTGCAAGGCTACTTGACAAATTGCCACCAAATCAACACGGAGAGAAGGCAAGGGACGTATGCTGCACGCAACATGTTTGGCATCAGAAGTGTGGGCGTTTTGAGCCTGCGATCGAGCTTGTGGTGAGAAGTAGCCTGTGAACAAAACAGCTACTCTTTGGATGCCGGGACTCAAAACTAGGCACGTAGCATAGCTATTGCGCGAACTGCGATCAGTAGGACTCAGTAGGAGAGGGCTGCAGTCATCGTGCTCGTGAGGCTCACTCTGACGGCATGTTGTCCACGAAGTCATCGAGCTGTTGTGAGAAGGTCCTGCCGAGGTTCTCTGCTTCAAGATCGTGTTCGTCCGGAAGATTCTTCATTGGATCCTCTTGAGAAGTGTTGGAGGCAACATCCATCTCATCATTCGTGAAGTCCACTGCAGAAGTTCCTGCCTCTGCATGTGTGTTTGGCGACGGCAAGAATCCATCAGCGGTGGAATCCGGATGGGGCGGGGACTGCTTGATCTCGGCGTGGAGAGGCGACGACGTCTGTTTCGTGTCCTCCTTCTCTGATGAGCTGGAGAGATTGATTTGCAACGTGCGGCTGCCGAGTTTCTTCTTGAAGGCGATGGACTTCTGCAAGGCGTCCGTGGGCTCTTGCTTCACACGCACCTCATACAAAACGGAAGAAGCGTTTTTTTAAATGTTTGGCGTAAGCTGGTTTAGGCTGTGATGTGGCATGTGATAGGCACAGGTTATGTTTTGAAGCTGTTCATGTTTCGACGAGCCCTAAACCCTCCCTTTAGACTGAGCAAGGGGCCGGCATGAAAGTGTCGGTAGAAGACGACGACCTTACCGTGTCCTTGTCCTTTGCCACGAACGATGCTGCAGATGCGGTTGTTGGTGCAGCGTTGGAAGATGCGAGCAGGGAGCTGGACGATTTCACAGACCGGAGCTTCTTTGTGGGTGGTTGAGTTGACTCAGGGATGTCCTCGAAGTAGTGAGTGGTACTGCCAGAAATCCCTGCCAAATCAGGGCGAACCTCATTGAGGTACTTCTTCCCGGTGGAGAATTCTTTGCCTGTCACCGTGTAGCAGAGGGGCACTTCTTCTCCGTCGAGGGCCGCCTGAAGAAGATTCAAACTCCACTGCGTGTCCTCCGCATGATTTGGTGGGAGTTGTTGCAGGTGGCCCTTCAGGTAAGCGGACAGTGTAGGCCTTGCTGTGAGAGAGACTACCCCAAAATCTTTGTCGGGCCAGGCTACACGCTTGATGGGGTCGCGGTGTGTGCCGGGCGAGCGAACATAGATGCCGATGTCAGTGAAGACGATCATGACCGAGCGTTTGAAGACACCCATCAAGTCTTCCTCGTCAAAGTCCTTGTGGAAAGAGGGCCTAACAAGCTTGTAGAAGACTTCAAAGGACACCGTGTCGCTGTTTGTTTGGGGCGGCAAGGCGGGCTCAGCTGATCGGTCGTAGGGGTTGGAGCAGACGACGAAAAGCTGGTTCTTCTCGTACGAAGAAGCGTTCCAGCGGGCCATGGTCTTCCTTTCAAAGCCTGTCACTTCTGTGACAGCTTTGACCGAGGCCGGAGACTCCAAATTGAAATTGCCATCGTCGAAGACTCTTGGCTTTGTTGTACGGCCTCTCTCCTTTCGGAAATAGTCCAGGTGGTTGCAGCTTTGGAATGATGGCTTCTCATGTTCACGACCCTTCTGAAGGAGCCAGAATGCAGAAGCCAAGTTCGCCAGAGTGTAGGCCGTCGGGCTCTTGCCGACCTCTGACTTGCCAATCAGAATGACTGCGTGCTCCAGGATGCGAGGCAAGATGGGTGCGAAGATTGTGTTGAGGGCCCACGGGGTAAAGCTCTTCAGGGTGAGGGGCCAATCTTGGATAGTGTTTGCCTGCGAGCCTTTGTCAGCAAGGCAGCGCAGGAACTCCTTGATGGTTCCCTTGTCCCATTTGAAAAGTGGCCCATTGGGATCATTCACCTGCTCTTCAGTCCAAGAAGTGAATTGACCGTCACTGTTCTCTTCCGGCCCTGCTTCACGGATGAAGGCAAACCCCTTTCGAATGTCCTCTGTCTCTTTCACCGGTTTGGTGGAGCTACCAGCTGGAATCAGCTTTTGGTAACGTACCTGGAAACCGCCCATGGCCTCGAGAAGGTATTGCAGAGCACGACCGCCCTCTCGGTACTGCTTGCAATAGTCGATCTCGAGGGCCCTCCCTGTGCACATGCTGCGGATAGTGCTGCGCAGCACTTTTGACCCTTCAGCGAACTTAATGTGCTTGACGATATCCCACTTGGTTTCTCCTTTGGAAACGATGAAAACCTGCATGTCGTAGGGCGTTTCGTTTTGACCGTTCATACGGATGGGATGTGGGAGATCACTGTAGCGCTGTTGGAAAAACAACTCTTCGATCTTCTTGAAATCCAACTCACCCTCCCAGTTCATGAGTACATCCAGGAACTGCACCTTTTTCTTTATCTCGTCCGTGATCTCATCCTTGGCCGGAAGATCTCCGACCGTGATGCAGCCCGGCTCTTTGTGTACAATGAGGGGCTTCTCCAGGCGAACAAGTTTGAGGCCGTCAGTGTGGGAGATTGCCTCATCAAAGGTAAGGCCATTGCGACGCAAAGTGTGGGGCCTAGGAAATCAAAAGACTTTGAGCGTCAAACAGAATGCTCGGAAAGGGCTGGCAGCTCTTGGAGCGCAAGCGATAACCAACTGTGAGAAGCAATGCTGAAACACGTTTTAGCACTGCAGAGGCTTACCGGTTGATGGCCATCTACTGAGGAGATTGGAAAGCGAGCTCGTGCTTTTGCAGTAGCCCGGGACAAGACAAGGCCTTAACAGCTACATGCCAAGTTCAGCTCTTTCCGCAGTCGTGAGAAGTCTCTCAGACACACTGTCCGGCCATGGAGTTACTTTGTACAAGACGCCGTCGTCGTTCTCAAAGACAGAACATCCTTGTTTGGGTACATTTTGTATTCAAAAAATAGCCCCATAGGTTGTGTACCAACATATATTCTCACTATATGTGGTATGCCTTTGCTGTAAACAAAGTCGCGTCTCCGTCACTTAACTTGCCGATCCGAAGTGGTGGCCGTGGTGCTCTGGGTACCGGGGTGGGCTTCTTTGCAAACTCATGGATGAGCAGCACTGCATCCGGACAGAGGTCCCATTTCAGTAGTTTTAAAGACACCGTGACCATAGCCCCAGCACAGTTACATCAACAGATGCGAGCCGAAACTCCCCGGCTCAATCACAGCAGCTCCCCAAACATTGCAGATTCCTGTGCCACTGCCTGCGTCTCAAGAGTTGGCTCCCAAAACCCCAAATCCCAAACCACAAACTCACGACCATATCCCTCGGCCCTCGGAGCTGCTAGCAGCCCACGGCGCACCTCGCGACAGGGAAAGGTGGATCTTGGGGGGGGGGGGCGAGCATATATATATATATATATATATATATATATTTATTTATTTAAACCCTAATGAATTCGTCGAATAAGCCAAGTCCTTCGTCGAATAAGGCAAGCCCTTCGTCGATTAAGGCAAGTCCTTGGATGAAAATTTAATATTTTCTTAATATGGGATTCTTTGGGCGGGTGGGTTTTTTTCCTAAGTCTGGAACCCCCCAATGACAATGAATGCTAGAACAGTGACCCTCTAGACCCTAAACCCTAAACCTTGCTGACCTCCTAAGCGCTGAATCGGGTTCAGGGCTCGGGGTTCTTTGACCCTCGTAAGCCATGAGCCCTAGTAGCAAAACACTAGACCCTTGATTCGTTGAGGGAGGGTTCAGTTTAGAAGGAGTCCTGCAGCTTAAGCCCTAAACCCTAAACCCTAAACCCTAAACCCTAAACCCTAAACCCTAAACCCTACATCCCCAAACTGCCGCAAGGCGCGCTCCTTGGCCCCGATCAGCGCATCCTCCACCTCCCGCTGCGCTTCCTTGGGGTTCTGGGGAGCTGAGGAGGAGGATTTTGGCAGTTTGCAAGGGGGGCCTCTACGAGTCTAAACCCTGAACCCTAGACTTGCTCTAAACCCTAAACCCTAAACCCAAAACCCAAAACCCTAGACCCTAAACCCTGCACTTGCCCTAAACCCTAAACCCTCAAACCCGAAAACCCTAAAAACCCTGTACGAAGCCTTGAACGGGGACTCCTAGGGCTTCGGGGCCTAGATTCGTTCAGGCCCAGGCGCCTGGGGGAGTCCATACACTCGGTTGCCTAACTTTTGGCCGTGCTTCTTTTTTTGGGAAGTGGGGGGGGGGGGGGGCAGGGTTTGGGGTTTCGGGATAGGGGGGGGTTAGCTAGGGCATAAGGTGTAAGGATTCTGGGGTTTGGGGTTGAGTTCTTAGGGGTTTAAGAGCTGCCTGGCCCCTAGCAATCTACAGGGAACAACGCAGAGGGCAGAAATGAGGAGTAGCTTGCATGATAGCCGCATTTTGTTTGGACTAGGTTATGGGGGATCATAAGGGTAATCATTTAGGGCCCTAGATACTCAGCTTGGTGACACCCGAAAGGCCCTAAAGCTTCAAACCCTCAACCCGTAAGCTCTAGGACCCTGAGCTCCTAAACCCTAACTAAGCCGTAAACCCGAAGCTGTGAACCCTAAAGCCATGAACCCTCAAACCCGAAGCTTTTAACCCTTAAAGTCCTCAATCCCCAAACCCGACGCTCTAAACCCTTAAAGCCCTCAACCCTTAAACCTTATAAAGGCCGGTGGCCTCTTTATCTGCAACCCATATGCCTTAATATAGCCCCTAATCCGAGCATCTGTTTAATTAATACCCCCACATTTAAAGAGTTTTTTTTCGCCGAGAAGCCCGCCGGAAGACTACTTTCCATTACGGTGGATTTCGTATGGGCCAATACCACCACATTTAAAGAACATGTTTTCGGGGAGGTTCCAAAATCTGTCGGCAGGCTTCTTGTTTTGCTTGCTGAGCTGCGAAGCTACAGCACCTCAAGGATCTGCGGCCTATTGTTTTTAATAGAGAATCAAGACAGGGCCACGGTCTTACTATTGCGGAACCCGGCCTTTCTTATTGCGGTGGGGGGGGGGGGCCCCCCCCCAATTAAACAGATGCTCGGATTAGATACCCAGATACCCCAACAGGAACCCCGAACATATGCCCAACCCTACTTAAAGAAGCCCTAAACTCTAAACCCATATAACTCAAACCTCTTCTTTGGGGAACCGCCTCCTACAGAAAACACGCCATGCACGCGGCCGCCAAAGCGCTTCGCGAGCTCCACGTTATGAGTTCGGGGGTCCGACAGCGTAGGGTTTAGGGTTTAGGGTTTCGGGTTCAAGGGTTTTGGGTTTCAAAACTTAAGGTCTAGGGTCTAAGTTTTAGTTGGACAGGGAGGCGTGACCTTGAGGCCTTAGGGCGAACAGTCGGCTAGATGGAGTTATGGACCGGTAGCGATTTTTGGCTCGGAAGCTGTGGCCACACAATCAGGAGAGGCACGGGCACTCCACCGAAGAACACGCACGCGCAACCTCTCAAAACCCTAAGCCCTCAACCCGAGACCCTCAAGACCCTCACGACCCGACAGCACTCATTCACAACGCGAGAGGAGTGACAGTCGTATCGTTGGGCGCAGAATGCGGCAACATGTGACCTTGCGACTTGGATGCGCTGGTAACATGGACGTTATTGCTGTTCCGGCATGGATGCTCTGGTCATTCAGCCTCAGTGCTCAGGTGGTTCTGGACATACTTGCTAGCCAATGTGAGTGGGAACAAGCAAATAGATACATGGAAGAATCCCCAACAACTACAGCACCTTCGCTACTGTACTGTCCTCACAAGTCAATCGGACTGTGCTTTGACCCTAAGTACCCTGTGAGTATACTTCGTTCGCGGACATCCAAGAAGCGCCCAGCACCCCAAACCCTCTAAGGACGCTCATGTTCGGGGCTACTGGGCATTGCTAATACATGGAGCAGCTTCAGGGCATCGCATTTCAGGCACAGGTCCAGGCTATCTCAGGAGGTTTAGTAACTAGCCAGTCGCAAAAGAAAGAAAGGAAGAAATCTTGACGCTGATCCACAACATGCGGCCAACCCAAGACGGTCGTGTTGAGCCCTCCATCACTTCGGCCTCTTCGAGGACTGGGGGCTTTGGGGCCCCCTGGCTAAGAACGAAACAAAACCCCCTAAACTGTCATACCCCCCCCCCCCCCCCCCAAACCCGAAACCTGAAAACCTAAATGCCAAAGCCGAAACCCAACAGGAAAATGCCCTATACCCTCAATCCTATACCCTACACCCTAGATCCTAAACCCTAGAACCCAAACCCCAAAAATCTCCGGAGCGTCGTCTTCCGCTTTGGCGATCTTCAGGCGCTCGTCGTCCCTCGCCTCGGTCTCGATGTTCTTGAGCTCCTCCTCCGAAGGTGGAGTTGGGGTAAGAGTTGAGGGTTTAGGGTTTAGGGCTTAGGGCTTAGGGTTTAGGGTTTAGGGTCTCGACGTTGTTGAGCTCCTCCTCCGAAGGTGGGTGGGTGCGGGTGCGGGGGGGGGGGGGGGGGGGTTACGGTTTAGGGTTTAGGGGTTTCGGGTTGAAACCCTAAACCCTAAACCCTAACTCTAAACCCTGAACCCTAAACCCTAAACCCAAGTCATCAGGGACTCAAAAGGGAAGCCTTCCTTCATTTCATGGGATTTGCTGGTGCAGCTACCAGAGTAGATACGTGGGCCCTAAACTTCAGGAAGGTTGAAGTGAATACAAGGACGGTGTACAAGCAGCTTTGAAGACTCCTGCGCTGCTGCCAGGGACGCCTTGGCGGACTCCAAGTCCGCCGCGTCGGGGAGCTTCCTGAGGGTTTAGGGCTTAGGGTTTAGGGTTCAGGGTTCAGGGTTTAGGGTTTAGGGTTTTTGGTGGGGGAGGGGGGGGTGGGGTTCAGTGGCTTGGGTTTGCTTCCTGGGGCTTTTTGTGGGCGGTGTGGCTGTTGGAGGCTGTGGGTTGAGGGTTTAGGAGTCATCTAAACCCTAAACCCTAAACCCTAAACCCTAAACCCTAAACCCCAAACCCTAAACCCTAAATCCTAAACCCTAAACCCTAAACCCAAACCCCAAACCCTAAACCCTAAACCCAAAACCCTAAACCTAGGGGCTTGGGGGGAGGTTGAGGCTTTAGCAATTCACGGGGCTTACAGTGCTTTCTTGTGGGATGTTGCTCAACTGTGTCAAGCACAAAGCATGAGCTGCTCAACTACCTCTAGAGTTTCACAGGTTTCTGAATTTCCTGCAGGTCTTCGAAAATTCCTGTCGGGATCTCAGGATTAGGGTGATTAGGGTAGTCCCAGAGCACCCATGCAAGATAGGTTTGGGAAAATAGAGCCAATATCGAGAGCCACGAATCGGAGTGTTCAGATCCTCTGCCCATGAGAGGCCCCCCTCCCACCCCCCCGGAAGGAACAGTGCTCTGTGGCAAGTGGTTGCTTTCTAATCTTTGGCAGTGCCCCATAGGCATTGGAAACACAAGAAGCCTCGTTTGCACTGTGTGCCCGGCACCCTAAACCCTCCACCCTAAACCCTATACCCCACATTTTTGGAAATAACCATTTTCGGGGAGCAACGCAAAGCAACCCTACGAGGTCCGCTCGCTACATTATGATCCCATTTCGGGTTCGTCAGGCCAACCACGCAACTCTGGTTGAGGCACCCCCCCCCCCCCCCAACCCTGAGCCCCTAAACCCTAAACCCCAAACCCTAAACCCCCCCACCCCCACGAGCTAGCTCGGCTCCTCTCAGTGGCCCCCATCACCCCAGTTACCCCCAGTTCGGCCCAAGCATCGCGTCGGTTGGAGGCACCTGGTCCCAAAAGATCCGAGCACGCAGGGGCCTACATTCACACCCTGAACCCTGTTTGGGGTTTAGGGTTTAGGGTTTAGGGTTTAGGGTTTAGGGTTTAGGGGCGTCGAGGAGAGGGCCCTAAGACGCGAAGCCAAGCAGAGAACCCTAAACTCTCAAGGTTCCGGGTTTGGGGCGGCTTATGTCGAAACTCCACCCAAAATTCTAAGGCCCTTTGCAAGGGAGCTGAAATCACCATGTCGCAAGACCACAAGGATTCCTGAAGAACGTGGGGGGGCCTCAGCGGTTTGGTATGTAACCCAAAGCTCACCACCACTCCACAGCACTCCCTCATGCTGCCGAACCTTGCCTGCAGTTTCCTACAGGGTTTAGGGTTCAGGGTTTAGTCCCCTTAAGCCCACCCACGCGTCTTAAGCCAACGAAGCCCCTGAAACCCCCCTGCCTTAAACCTCAACCCCCAAACCAGCAGATCCTTAAACCCCTATATGCCCCCTACCAGCCCCCTTAAAAAGCCCTAAACCCTAAACCCTAAACCCCAAACCCCAAACCCTAAACCCTAAACCCCATACCCCAAACCCTCTCAACCCTAAAGCCCAAAAACGCCCCAGGCGCCGAGGAGGACTCGGACTCTGCCCGACGCGTGGCAGGCTCTGGGGGTGGCCGCCGCCGGCCGAAACTATCCTTGTATGTTGGGGTTTAGGGTTTAGGGTTTGGGGTTTGGGGTTTAGGGTTTAGGGTTTAGGGTTTGAGGTTCAGGTTTAGGGTTTTGGGGGTTTAGGGTTCAGGTTTGGGGGTTTTGGGGTTTTGGGGGTTTTGGGGTTTTGTGGTTTTGGGGTTTTGGGGGTTCAGGGGTTTAGGGTTTGGGGGCTTTGGGGGGTTTAGTACGGGGTTTAGGCGGTTTAGGGGTTTGAAAGTTCGGGGTTCCTAAACCCTAAACCCTAAACCAAACTCGTTTCCGAACCCTAAACCCTAAACCCTAAACCCTAAACCCTAAACCCTAAACCCTAAACCCTAAACCCTAAACCCTAAACCCTAAACCCTAAACCCTAAACCCTAAACTCCCTCAAGCCCCTTCATCACGCACCCTCTGAGCCAGCCCAGGCGTCCAGGCTCCTGCTCTTCTCGCTCGAGGCCCGCCTTCAGGGAAGCCAGGTTTGGGGGGTTTAGGGTTTAGGGTTTAGGGTTTAGGGTTTAGGGTTTAGGGTTTAGGGTTTAGGGTTTAGGGTTTAGCGTTTTAGGGTCTTAGGGTTTAGGACGGTTTAGGTTTTAGGGTTCTAGGGTCCTAGGGTTTAGGGTCCTAGGGTTTTAGGGTCTTGGGGTTTAGGGGTTTAGGGTTTAGGGTTCATGGCCAAAGACAGAGGGTCCACTTGTCGTACCGTTATGGACGTAGGTGCCGCAAAACCCCTACCAAATAGGGCTTGGTTGGGGATTCCTCATTCCATAGATGTACTACACATGGACCTTCCCTGCCTTCAATACTCATAGTATTGATAGCACGGATAAACGTGAAATTTTCCATCTCCGAAACAAGTAAAACTGCCGGAGCTGAGTAGCAAAAAGGTTTAGGGCTCCCGCCTACTGAGGGATGCTCTAGGTTGAAGGTATGGGCTTAGGCGTAGGCCCTTAGGGCCCACATATATATCCTACTTGCTGAGTACCCTGGGCCAAAAAAGGTTAACCTTTCAATTATGTTAGGATTGCATAAACCCCAAAAGGATAAAGGCTACCTACTCAGCGACTAAGACATATGTATGCATGTATATATATATATAAATGTTGGGTTGCGCCCTCATGAATCATAAACCTTCGAACCCAACACCCCCAAAAAGGGTTTAGGGAACGCCAACCTGACCCCTTCCACAGCCCGCCCGCCCCCCCCCCTCACTTACGGGACACCTTGCCCCATTAATCTATGGAACCATTTCGCCAACTCGGCGCCCAAATATCAAGCCAAAAATCCCGAAACCATATTCCCGTTATTCCTTAGCCCAAAATCCAAGCCAAAAAATCCCGAAACCATATTCCCAAAACCCCGTTATACCCATATGCCAAATATCAACCCGTAAAATCCCAAGCCGTAAATCCCCGTAAAACCATATTCCGGAAATCCCAAGCCTAAACCCAAGAAAAAAACACCTTCCCCCATAAATCCCCGTTATTCTTCAACCCGTAAACCCTAAACCACAAACCCAAGAATAACAATAAGCCTTATGTGGGGCAAGCTCCCTCTAATGAAATTTAATATTATATTATTATAATATTAAACTACATCAACAACGCTTTCTGACGATAAGGCGTTTGTTCTTTGAATTGTTGGAAATCAATTTTTTGCAATTTCTCTTTACTGCATACAAACTTGTTATTGTGTTTATGAATGTTCAATAAGCGTTCGTATGGTTTGAGTCGTTCAACCCAATCGCTTTTTGAATTGTAAATGTATTTTTCATCGAAGTAGTTCTGTCCGTTGTGTAACTGTTCATTAAACTTTAACATTGCATGTTTGACAGGCACGAGTGTTTTTGTTTCTGCATCTTGGACTGTTTGACTATGCGCCATTTGAAGCAACCCGTTAATACTACATTTGTCGTTTGTTTTGGTAAGACATAAGTCTATCTCTTTCATAAGGTTGTTCTTTGTATGACAACACTCGCAACAGCCAAAATGCATTTTAAACATGTTTGTCATGTTGTTGCCCTCATCGCTTAAGCATGTTTCGCAATTTTGGTTTTGTTTGTTGAGTTTGTGTTTATAATCTTTCAGCGTAATTATGTTTAAGAACTCGTTAATGATTTCCTCCTGTTCGATTTCACTGAACATTTCCATGATAATATATAACGTGTTATACCTTTAAGCCGTTTTGTGCCATGATAAATACACGTTTAAAGGTATGTTATGTTAAACCGTTAATCATGGGAAGTTCAACATCAACCCAACAAACAACCACACAACCTTTAATAACTCCTTCGGCTAAAATAAAAAATCCTAAACCTATACATGTCCATCCTAAATTCTCATTGGGCGAATGTATATTTAATATCAATAACCCCGAACTATATAGAGACCACTCGTGTAAAGTAATATTTAAATATGTTGTAAATGATGAAGTTTGTAAAGATATACGGGGTAAGGTAATAAAAGATATATTGAATGGGGTTTCGCATTATACCGAATGGTATTTAAGGACATATATACCTATCGAAAACGAAGATAAAAATAATTGGTTTGTATTCAAAACCGCACTTGACAATCTTGAAGAAACAATAGCCATTTACAAATTAAATAACTTTTCATATCATATTTATCCCTGATGAGTTTTAATATTGCAAATAATATTAAATCGCATCTCATTCCTCGCTTTTAGCGGGTGCTTTAAAATGATACTTTTCTTCTTCCTTGTTAAATTCAATATCATAATATGTTAACGTTTCTGGTTTTGGGACTTTGATTTCGCCCTTATTCAGTCTTTCCATGTAAGTTTTCCTTTTCTTACTCCAATCGCTTTTCTCGCCTTTATCAACTGGTGTTGATGACGTGCTCTTTTCATAAGCGATTGGTTTCTTATCCTTATCCTTAACCAACTGTTTAACAAGTCCTAAAATCTCATTAATCTTTAATTGAGTCATATTGTGGTTTTCTACAACAGTGTTATAAATCTCATCCGTGCTCACCTTACCCTCGGTCATATACGTTATTACGTATTCTACCCTTTAAATACGTATAATTTCCTCAATATCGGCATCGCTTAAAGGTTCTTTTACGTGTTGAATGCACCACCCTTTCGGTTTCAAGTGTTCAATTATTTTCTTAATCTGCGTTTCATTCTCTGGCTTTCTTAAGTCAATCTGTGCCCAAATAAATTTAAATGTTTCGGGTTCATATTTCAATAATCTTTGTTCCCATCCTAAACTTGACCAACAATCTAAATCAATACCTGTAACATAATAATCGCATTTTTCAGCTACTTTTAGAATACTCATTTTGTTCTGGTAAATGTTTAGAAGTTTTCCCATATAAAATATATGTTAAATGTTTTTCCCGACATTTAACGCACGTTTTACACATTTTGCCGTAACAACCAATAAAATACGATTTAGGAACATAACAACGACAATATTTACAAAATCCGATGTCTTGATTATAACCTTCGTTTGGTTCATTTGTTAATTTAAATTCTACTATATTAGCCATATTAATAATAATAACAATTTATTATTATTATATGTATAGGGGAGAAGAAAAAATAATTAAGCAACTGCTTATGAGATGCTATTGAACGTGTCGCACTACTTCCCTTCCGTGTGTCCGTTCAATGTGAAACAAAGGGGTCGCTCGTCAGAGCCTCGCAAGCTTTGCAAGCTCCGCGTCACTGTTTGGGGGCAACTGTCATGTTTAAAGAACAACATTTCTTTAAACATAATACCGAAAACGCGTTTTCTTGTGTCATAATCTAATATAAATATGTCTTTAATATTAATCCATACTATTTAATTTCAAGTTCTTCTTTAGCTCCTCTACTTCTTTTTCTAACACTTGTATTCTTTCTTCGGGCGTTGGTTTTCGCGAACCGAACCCTGTATCTACAGTATCAACATCTTCATTATCTTTCATATTAGTTTTAAAAATAGCGTTTCCGTCGGGTGTCGTTCCTCTGCCCATTTTCCAACTACTCCTATTCTCTACCTGATTAACTACGACGTTACCCTGTTTATCTGTTGTTGTTTTAGTTTGTTTATACAATGCCTTTTTACCACATCTACAAAAGTTACAATCAACACTACTTTTATCAATGTGAAACCCTCCGCTGTTCTGTTCCATTAATATTATTTAGATTTTTTCATATTTTTAAGATAATAACAAACGGCTTTCAAGAACTCTAACAAACTACGACAACACGTTCTGTATCTTGGTGTTTTTATTACTTCGTCTAATTTCTCTAACTCGTCCATTACATCTATATAATTTTTGTAGTTGTACATATATTAAATAACGATATAATTTTCTATGTATTAATAATAATGTCAAACATTCCAATAGTCAAACCTGTCAATGTGAAAGAATACGAGTTCAAACAATCTAAATATGAAGTAGCCCCGAGATTACCTTTCAGTCAAATAATAACTGGCCCTTCTGGAAGCGGTAAAGGTATTTTACTACAGTCAATGATATTAGACATCTATAAGGACGTCTTCGCGAGAATATACGTATGGTCGCCCTCTGTTTCAATTGACCCTAACTGGACTCCTGTTAAAAGGTATATACAAAACGAATTGAAGGTGGATTTAGAAAAAGAAAAATGTATGTTTGATGAATACAACCCCTCGGAATTAGAAGAAGTTATAAACAGACAACATAAAATAACTGAGTATCAAAAGAAGAATGGGCACAAGCAATTGCATTCAATATTAATTATTGTTGATGATTTTGCTGATTCAAAGAGTTTTTCACGCAATAGTCCATTATTAAATCAATTATACGTAAGGGGACGACATAAAGCGATATGTATTATAACGGCAACGCAAAAGTTTAACGCACTGTCTCCAATAATTCGTGTCAATAGTCGTCAGTTGTTCTTCTTCAGATTAAGGAATTACAAAGAAATCGAAACAATGGTTGAAGAATTAAGCGCCGTATTGATTAAAAAATCTTCTGTAGCAGATACTAAAAATTTAGCAGAAGCGAAGAAATTATTATTAGAAGTATATAATTTGGCAACAGAAGAACCATATAGTTTTTTGTTCATTAACTTAATGAAAGCAGACGTAAATGACATGTTTTATAAAAGGTTTGATGCTAAATTAGTTATTGATTAATAATATTATTTTCATAATAATATTATTTATCACTTTCCATCACCTTTACCTTTACCTTTTAATGTTTTTATTTCTTTTTCTAACTTATCAATACGATTTAAAGAATTTTGTAAAGCACTCCATAAAATAGGAACACAAGAAGTATAATCAAACTTTAGATATCCGTCTTTGCCTTCTTTAACTATATTTTGCCATTCATCTGGGACTTTTTTACTTAAAAAGTCATTAGCAATAAAACCACAACATGATTTACCCTTTTGTCTGTCGTCAATAAAATGATATGTTTTTGGAACAATGTATTTAACTAATTCCACTGCCTTTTTTTGGTTAAGTTCCTTAATATCTTTTTTCAATCGTTTATCAGAACTTGGAATTAAAGACCCAGTATATTCAATATCTCCATTAACGAGAATGCCACTTGGTGAAATTGAAAATACATCATTCGATACTGAAACACTACCAAAATAAAATGCATATTCGCCTCCTGCGTCAGTATTTAAAAATTGTATTTGTTCTACGGTGCTTATTGTCTCTTGTGTTATTTCTAAGTTATTCATTTTTACTTTTCCGTCTGTTAATTGTATTTCTGGTGTGCTACTTTCTAATCCAACAGTTAAATTAATGTCGCCTAACGTGTCTCCATTTCGAACAAACAATTTATATTGTCCGTCCAATACTTCTTTAAACTCACTACTATTTTGAAACATAA